AAAGTGTTTAACTAAATGGACAAATTGTTTATGAAAAACTATACTTTTTAGTCTTTGCTTCAAAGTCCAAATTTTTAATCTCATCATTTGTCAGGTAAAAAAAAAAAAACATATAAAATTCCAGCAGTGAGCGATCACCTGCCATTCATCATCGTCTCATTTCATGCCAAATAACTCCCAAGCCTCTGCATCTTAGACCATCGCTCTTCCTCCACAGAGAGATCCAGCATCTTGTGGTTCTCTTCACCCTGACAAGCTCAATGCTGAGAAGAGGATCTGGATTTTGGGGAAACCCAGAGTGAGATATTTCCCTTCACCAGGTTTCCATGCGAATGGAAATCCACGGCTCGCCAATGTCTGGTTTTCCTCTTCCTTATTCTCCCCCAGAGAGAGATGTCAACCAGAGATGTGATTGAACTCATTTAGTGTCTCTCTAACAAGTTCTCGTTGTTCAACAAAAGGCAACGCTGTGTGCGTACAAATTTCTATTTTGGTTTCACACTGAGGTTTCGAGGATGGATTTCATTTTTGGACTACAGGCCTGTGACTCTGGAAGGATTCTTGGAATTTTAAGTACAGTATGAATGAATGTGTCTTTGTTAAGGCAAGGCAAGACACTGCAGGTGAATAGGATGAAAATATATCTACAGTTGAAGTCAGAATTATTACCCCCCTGTATATTTCATTCTCCAATTTCTGTTTAACGGAGAGAAGATTTTCTCAACACATTTCTAAAAATACTAGTTTTAATAACTCATTTCTAATAACTGATTAATTTAATCTTTGCCATGATGACAGTTCATAATATTTTACTAGATATTTTTCAAGACACTTCTATACAGCTTAAAGTACAAGTTAAAAGCATAACTAGCTTAATAAGGCAAGTCATTGTATAACGATGGTTTGTTCTGTAGACAATCGGAAAAAAAATTGCTTAAGATGAAAAAAAAATCCTTGCTTTGTTAAACATCATTTGGGAAATATATTTAAAAAAGAAAGAAAAATTAACTTTAGGGCTAATAATTTTGACTTCAACTGTATATACATAAAATATATCATTATACTTCCCCAGTTCATTGGTCACTTTTAAAATGTTGCTTGAATATGCAAATTAATCATTATTTTATTAAATGTGCACTAATTTGCATACATTTCTAGCACACAACATTGGATGAAGAAATCTAAATTCTTGTTTATTCCTTCATTTTCTTTTCGGCTCAGTCCCTTTATTAATCAGAAGTCACCACAGCGGAATGAACCGACAACTTATCCAGCATATGTTTTACCAAAGACTATAGAATACAACAAAACGTGTCACTCGTATACTTTTGAATCGGTAAAAGTGTAACTGTCAATATGGTGAATGAAGCCCCGCCTTCTAGTACAGGAGCTATAAAAATCTCCGGGGGAGGGGCTTGGACCAGACATGAGTTTCTGCAGATTTCGTGTGATACCAAAGAGCATAGAACCACCAAGAGGCGACACTAGTGCAATTTGGGGAAACAGCCTCTAGATGCCATTTTGGAATGAAAACTCTAATAGAAAAACAACATAATATAAATCAGTAAAATAAACTATAATGTGGTGATGATTGTGATAGTAAGTGTTGTTTTGTTGTCTTTTAGGTTGTATATCAGCTTTAATGTGCTTTTTAAATAAATAAATAAAAAACAAAGCAGCTGCTTGCCATCGTGACAGCAAGAAGATCCAATGGACAGCCGATCGCTTTCACTCCAAAATGGCATAATCCGGGGCTGTTGCTGGGCGCTGCTGTTGCAATGGATCGTTCTATTGAGTGTCCCTTCTTGGTTATTCTAAGTTCTTTAGTGATACTAACATTTAGAAACTAAACTAAATAGACAGATGTTCAAACAGACTGCCCGAGCATACTGTCCGAGAGGCATTTCAAAGATGGCCGCCTAGTGAAATGACTCGCCTTAGAGGGACTTTAGTTTTACACAGCGGATGGCCTTCCAGCTGTTTCCCCCACAAGTCCAAAGACATGCGCTATAGGTGAATTGAGTAAGCTAAATTGTCTGTAGTGTATGTGTGTGAATAAGAGTCAATGGGTGTTTCCCAGTGCTGGGTTGCAGTTGGAAAGGCATCCGCTGCATAAAACATGTGCTGGATATGTTGGCAGCTTATTCCGCTGTGGTGACCCTTGATTAAAAAAGGGACTAAGCTGAAAAGAAAATGAATGAATAAGCAAGAATTTAGATTTCTTCAATGTGAATGAATCAACATTTTGGGAGTCTGTCACTTTATACTTTAGAAAATACTAAAATACTAATGCCGAGTTCAGACTGCATGATTTTCAAAGTAGTCATGTCACAGATGTTTTCACACTGCATGACTATCTGGGCTTGCGTTTCGTCGCTGCTTGGTTTACACTGCAAGATGGATCGGCGACAGGGGCTTTCAGATTGCATGACGTTACTATAGGAAGAATCGCTGACAACTTCGTCCAAACTACGTCTCACAGCCAAAAACACATAGTATATCTTTTGTTATTAACATAATGAGAAAGAAGCCTTTAATGGAGTAGAACATGTACATGTTTGCTCACCTGGGTTTAAAGGGAATTAGCCATTTCTCCTCAACGTTGATAATAAACTAATTTCTTTCTGTATGAAACGTCAAACAGACACGGTTGGTCCTGAGTCCTGTCAAACCTCCACTAGTTTTCTTCCATTTCGTGGGTCCAAGTAAACCGAAAAAGAGCGCTTTTACCTTCTCCCCCAGCCTCCCGCTGGCCTGCAGCAGGTATACACACGCGCACACACAAGTGAAAGCTGCTCTCTCATTGGCTGTTGGCGATCGCTGATGTTATTTTCAGTCAAAACTCAATTCACACGGCATGATTTGAATCGCCGACAGCTCCAGATATTTAGCATGCCAAATATCTCGCAGGCATCGGCGACTCATCGGCGATTCTCTCAGATCGCGTCTTTGAAAGTTCATACTGTGTGATTGTCACTCACGTGCACGAGCAGCGATTTGCCTGTGATTTCAGGCATTTGTCGGCGATTTCTCAAAACCTGTCAGCGAGCCAAAATCGGGGTTAAAATCAGGCAGTCTGAACTAGGCATAAAATACTAAAATATGATTTTGTAAGTGCTGCTTCGGTGGAGATTTGAGGCTCAGTGTAGGACAAAAAAGCTTGAATATTAAAAAATATACTGTAATTGAAATTTACAGACATGAATGAATAAATTATGACGACAGAAAGACTTATTTTGGATGTTCTTTACATTAATCTCAACACACCTGAAGCTGTTAGATCACACTTTCTACGGCAGATAAATAAGATCCAGCCCCGGATGTCAGATCTTGTCAGGAATGTCAATTTCTCCAGGGATCTGGACAACAAGTCAGCAGAGTTTCCAATACCCAAACCTGTTAACCAGTACTCAACTGAATGGACCCTTATTACAAGTCTTATACGCGCTTAATAGTCATCAGCATCTTAAATCCTTGTAAGTTTTTAATATTTAGATTTTTTTTATTGAATTTTTGTTTCTCTTGAATTTTTGTTTCTTTTTTAATTATTTCCTAAATAGTGTTTAACAGAGCAAGGAAATTTTCACTGTATGTCTGATAATATTCTTTCTTTAGGAGAAAGTCTTAAATAATAAAAATAAATAATAAAAAATAATAAAAGCAGTTTTTAATTTTTTTAACACCATTTTAGTAAAATATTATTTATTGTCATCATGGCAAAGATAAAATAAATCAGTTATTAGAAATGAGTTAATAAATCTATTATGTTTAGAAATGTGTTGAAAAAATCTTCCCTCAGTTAAACAGAAATTGGAGAAAAAAATGGGGGCTTATAATTCAGGGGGGCTAATATTTCTGAGTTCAATATGTATTTCTGTATGTATTATATCATCTACATCAGTTCTGCTTGTGCGAACTTTTCTATTGCAGTGTCAATGGGACAGGACAGAAAATTTGACGTTATTCTCACTTCTAGCTGCCGTTATCGGTCTCACACAATTTTTTTTTCCTTTTCCTGAATGTATTTTTAACACCACTGAGGAGTTTTTCTTTTATTATTTAAGCAAATAAGATCGTAAAAAAACTATTTGTTGTATATTCTCCCATTCACTGCGCTCAAAGTTTTCCCAACTTTGATGACCTATGATGAGAAACACGGAAATGTGAAAAGAGTCTATTAGCAGTCTATTATCAATATAGGAGCAGGAGACGAAGTGATGATGATAATAAATGAGTTGAGTTTATTGAATAATCTTAGTTGTATGTCTTCCTGTGCGCTCTCATACTTCATCTGAACAGCACAAATACACATTAGACCACAAGACCCTGAATTAGAGACATATCTCATATCAATGGAGGGGAACATTTCATGAAACACCATCACTATAAGACCAAACAATGGAAAAAGCAGAACAAATAATAAGAAATCTATAAAATACAAAAAATCAAATCAATAAATGATTAATATAATACATGATACAAATAAACAAATTAAACATAGAAATCAAATAAACGGAAGACTAAATGAATAACTAAGATTTATAAATGATTATATAATATAACTGATGATTATATAATAATTTATGATTATATAATAAATTATCAATGCAAAACAAATAATGCAAAAACTAAACATAATTTATTATAGAATTGATTTCATTTAAAGCACACACAGGTTATCACAAATTTCCGATTCTACAAAGCCCAAATTCGGCTACAATCTGAATATTGACTGGTTCATGTTTTTGCCTGTCGTGTGTCACTTTAACCGATGAACATCCTTCATAGTGTGCAATTATAATATTGCAAAAACAGATCTTTAGATTGAACGATCATAGATTTGACTTACTACACAACAGATGGCTGAGAGATTTATAGCATTTGCCTAATCTATTCACTCTGTGCTGTATCACTTTTTATGGTTAAAAAATCCCCCTTTCTCTGCTGCCATACCACATGTTACCTTAACATCTCTCTCTTTTTTGCATTCATCTCTTTAGAGTGCATGAACTGTACTGGTTATGCTGACATTAAAGAGCGCTTGAGTGTCATTGAAGCTCAGGTGAGATAGAATTGTCGATAACTTCTTGTATTGAACAGCCTACATATTGAATAGTCTACATTGAAGTTAAGTTGGTTAAAGTGTGTTGTTTGCCTTTTTTGACAGATAATGTTACTGAGAGATGCAGAGGCTCCTCTTCTACCTCTGTCCAGCCAATCACCTGAGAGAACAGCTGATAATGAGGTGGACAGGACACATGCCTCACCAGTCGCACCCAATGCCATTGGCCGCATAGGTTAGAGCATATCAATCTCAGATGTTTTGATTTAACTTTTTTTAAAGTTTCGTCATGTGGATAATTTCATATGTTTATTTTATTCTATTTTACATTTAATTTAATTTAATTTAATTTATAGATTTTACTTCTATTTTTCTATAATTTTTTTATTTATTTATTTTATATGTATTTATTTTATTTTATTTTTATATTTTTAATATATTTTTCATTATATATATATAAATTATTATTATTTAATATTTAATTTAATACACTTTTTATGTAATTTATTTTAATTAATTTTTATTTAATATATATTTTTTGTTTCATTTAGTTTTTAATTTAATTTATTTTTAATTTAATTTAATAATTTTTATATATTTTTTTATATTTTTATTTTATTTTATATAATATATTTTATTTTATTTATTTTATTTTGTAATATTACTTATATATTGTTATTTTATACTATAATATAAATATAACATAATTTTTTATATTTTTTAATTTAATTTTAATTTTATATATTTTTTTATTTTATGCAATATATTTTATTTTATTATTTTATTTAAATATTATTGTTTTAAAATATAATATAATATAATATAATAATAATGTAATATAATATAATATAATATAATATAATATAATATAATATAATATAAAATAATATAACATAATATAATATAATATATAAAACAAATAATATAGATGTAAATTTATTTAATAATTTGTATGCTTTGTATTAATATAAACATTGTCACACACACAAAATACATATGTTTGATCTTTTAGCATCTAACATTTTTATTTCAGACACATAATATGGACTTGCTAATTATTGTTTAATCCCAGGACTACCAGGACCTATTGGGCCCCCAGGTCCCCCTGGACCTCCTGGACTGACAGGTTTTACTGGACAGCCTGGTTCTATTGGACCTAGAGGTTAAAAAAAAACACTCTGTACCATGATTTACAACATTAAAACAAATCATTTGACTCATTGCTAACTTCTTGTTATCTCAACAGGAGCTCAAGGTCTGCAGGGCCCTCCAGGAGAGAGAGGTCTCCCGGGGCCACCGGGGCCCACAGCATCTCCACCCTTCTCCATCAGAGGAGATGTGTTTACTCTAATGGCCAAACAACAAGATAAATGTGAGCACAACACTCCATATTTAATAAACTCTTCTAAGAGGCAATGAAATGAGGATGTGTAATTTTATACAAATTCTATTAGTAGTGATTTGATTTCCACATTAAACAAATATTACATAATACATTAATCAATCAATATAATCCAATGAAAAAAATAGCAGTGCGATGTGAATGACTTTTCATTTCCATTCAGACAGTCTTTTGCACAAAAACCATCATCAAGCTTTCAAATGTTATGTTTGAAATGACCATCAGATGGCAGCATTTGCACAGTATGAGCACGGGTGGTGAAGGTCTGGCTCAGTTTAAATCTGGCTGCTTCTGTCTGTCAGCAGTTAATCAGAGTCATTTGTTAGCTGTCTCTGAAGCAGCATGAATCTGGATAACCTAAAGCAGAACCTGAACACCAAATCCAGCTCAACTGAAGTGCAGTGCAGCTACTCAACTCACATTTTCTGCAGCTGAATTACCATATTTTCAATCCAGACATTGTAAAAAACATCTAAATAGTTCACTTTTTAAAAGTGAGTAAATACATTGTAACTCGGAACTGTTAAGTTGACTTTATCTAATTGGTATAATTATGCACGTAATTATTTTACTTAATAATACAACGGGTTTACTCATCTTATTTCTCACTTTTTTATATCTTTTTAGATTTGCAAAAGATTGAAAATGTTTTACGTTTATGTATCCCAATTTCCTGGTTGCAAGTGATGATCAAACATCGATCTTGATATGCTTATAAAAATTATTTTGGGAAATAAACGCCCCAAAAAAGTTATTAATGCAAAAAGAATTGACAAAGACATAACGTAGCTTTATTTTGTTTCATTTAACTGTTGATTTTAAATTCAGAAGTTGCATCTAAATTACTGTAGAGTTATATTTATTAAACAATTTTTCAGCTCCAAAATAGTTTGCATACCAACATTCTTCCAATTTTTTTTATGTTCTTCAAAAGAAAAATAGGTGAGTAAATGGTGACTGGATTTTCATTTTGTGGTAATTATTTATTTATTTATTTATATGTAAAAAATATTAAATGATTAAATTATTTTTTTATATTTGATTTTTTTAAATATATTTTTCATTTAATTAATTAATTAATTTATTTATTTATTATTTTACTTTATTTTATTTTACAAGGACAATGCTCATTAATCAAAAGTAAAAACTGTAAATAAACCAGTTAGCCGCAACGGCTAATTTTCAGCGTTTGCCCCCTTTCAGATTTTTAAAAAGGCAGCCTTAAATAAAAAAAAAAAAATCCTTATCACACAAGCAATATTAGTACAATTACATACAAAAATATATTTTAGTTGGTATTAATAGTCTAGTGGTTAAGTGCACCGCCACCGACATATAGCACCATGGTGCTTACGGCGACCCGAGTTCGATTCCTGACTCAAGGTCCTTTGCCAACCCTTCCCCTCTCTCTGCTCCAAATATTTTCTGTCTGTAACCTCCTTTATCCTGTCCAAATCGAAGGGGAAAAACCCTAAATATATTTAAAAATGTATCTATATATTTAAAAAAATTGATAACAATTTCATAAAAAAACAAGAGAAAAGAATTGCATGATTAAAAACTTGATCCACTTCTTTAAATTATATTTAAATGTTGAGTAATCTGTAATACCCCTAAATTCAATTATTCAATTTATTCCATTTAAACAATTTTTAGGGCACAGTAAACATCTAATGAGTCAGACATTGTGTGATTTATTCATTTGATTCATTCAGTCGACAGATTCACAGAGCAGTGATGTAAACAACTGTTTAAATGAATGGCTGACTGAATCATTGGTTTATCCAACTAATTCAAAACAAGGATGTGTGTTGATCAGATAATTGGCAAAACAGCAAAAATAGACAATATAACAAAATATTAACTTAAATTTTTTTTCAAACTGCTATTTGGGATCTATTATTCTATAATGATATCTGAAATCAAACAAAAAGTTCTTCAGGGGTAGTTAATGTGTCAGTGCTCTTTAAATAAGGGATTCATAAAGATAAACAACGAAGTGAAAGCAAAATCGTTTTAATTTTTTCTCTTGTTATTTCAATGTCTATAATTATATCTTATGATTCAAATTTGAGACACCATGTTTTTTTTAATTCCAATATCTTGTTTTTAGGGTGCTCCTGTATCATTTCATTTCACTTTCATCATTTCTTACATTTTCAGTTGAGGACAGTGACTTTGCTGCTTATCGTGACCTGCAGACTTTTCTTGGTCCTCCTGGTCCCTCGGGCCCTCCCGGTCCAGCAGGTACAGCAGAGTACCAGAAAGCGTTTCATCCTGCATCATTCACACACTCATTTCATTTTCTTTCCATACTTGTCAAATAGGGCCTGCTGGTCCACCTGGACAGCCAGGGGCCCCAGGAGAAAATGTAAGATGCTTTTTTATCAATATAAAATACAGTTAGAAAGTTAATGTTGGAATTTATCTATCTATCTTTGTCTATCTATCTGTCTGTCTGTCTGTCTGTAAAGTACTATGTTGTAGTATGCATTTGCAGTATATAAATATGTGCATTTATATATATATTTATGTATGTATATATATATATATATATATATATATATATATATATATATATATATATATATATATATACACATATACACACACACACATATATATATAAATATTTACATATATATATATATATATATATATATATATATATATATATATATATATATATATATATATATATATATATATATATATATATATACAGTAGGTACGGAAAGTATTCAGATAATTTTTTTCTCATGAATGTACACACAGCACCCCATATTGACAGAAATATCACATGGTCGTAAGTATTCAGACACTTTGCTCAGTATTTAGTAGAAGCACCTTTTTGACCTAATACAGCCATGGGTCTTTTTGGAAGATGCAACAAGTTTTTCACACTTGGATTTAGGGATCCTCAGCCTTTTTGCAGATCCTTTCCAGTTCTGTCAGGTTGGATGATGAGCGTTGGTGGACAACCATTTTTAGGTTTCTCCAGAAATGCTCAATTAGGTTTAAGTTAGGGCTCTGGCTGGGCCATTCAAGAACAGTCATAGAGTTGTTGTGAGGCCACTCCTTCATTATTATACAATATGCTTAGGGTCATTGTCCTGTTGGAAGGTAAACCTTCAGCCCGGTATGAGGTTCTGAGCACTCTGGAGAAGGTTTTTGTCCTGGATATCCCTGTACTTGGACACATTCATTTTTCCTTTGATTGCAACTAGTCGTCCTGTCGCTGCAGCTGAAAAACACCCCCACTGCATGATTAATATAACAAAGAGTGAAAAATATAAGGGGGTCTGAATACTTTTCGTACACATTGTATATAAAGGGAAGAAATAACTGGATGATTCCTATGGGTGTAGACACAGAACACTGTAAACTGATTAATTCACATTCATCTTAGGCTATCTTAAGCTTTTCAGGCCCACCGGGTGACAGGGGACCCAAAGGAGATCCGGGAGAAAGAGTGAGTTCAGGAGGACAAGAAATAATATCATAATCCTCTACATTTAGGATAAAAAATGGATTGTTTTATTTGAGCTTAATATATTTTATTATTTTCAAAGGGACCGCCTGGAAAAGCCGGAAAGCAAGGACAGCCTGTGAGTCCATGTGCTGCATTTATTTGTTTGTTTGTTTGCTCATTTACAGTTATTATTTACGTTTAGTTTTATTATAGTTAAAAAAAATAAATATACTGTTTAAAGTTTTGTAAATATGTTTTATGTTTATATATTAATAATTACTAAAAAAAATTATATGGATGAAAGACAACACAGACGTGATTAGACATGCTACTGTCTTTGGTGTCCACATCAAATGTTACAAACATGTTTCTTTTTTGTACTTATTTCAAATAAAGAATAAAGAAAAATAAAAAATAAAAAGTCATAAAAAGTCAAAATACGAGTGAAATAATGTTCCACCATCATTCAGCATATTAGTTACAGATGATTAGCAATATTTTGGATGATTATAGGATGATTTACAATATTACATTTGTGCATATTCATCAGATTAGTCAGTAGACAAAAATGGATAAAATCTAGCAAGAAAAACTTAAGATCACAGTTCAAAAATCTGTTTAACCCAAATTAATATGCTGGGGAAATGTATTAAATACAGTCCTTCTCAGTCGTTTTGGTACATTTGTCTGATCATAATTGAAATTTTGCAGAACAGTAAGTGCATTTCTCAAAACAATGCGCACAAATAGCAAAACACCATGGATTACCTGCAAAAGCCAGTCTCTTGTTCAAAATTCTTAGTTCATCTTTCAAAAATACAATTCTGTGTCAATGAATGTGTCAGTGCCATTAGAATAACAGTAAAAAGCTATTTGTCATTGTGTATGGATAAGACAAATTACTCATGTTGTCAATATAACAGTGTACTTTGGAGGGCTGTTCTGATGTAAACTATGGCTAATTTAATGGCTTTGTACTGTAATTTGTTGACAGATCCTGTCATTGTGATACAGAAAGAAAAAGACAGCACTGCACAAAGAAAAAACAAAACAAAAATATAAATGTGAACATAGGGCAATCTTCTTTAAAATTCACCTTCATTAGAAAAAGTCAAGATTCTCTTGAGAGAAATGTACTAATTGTATACAGATTTAGAAAAATGTATAGAAAAATGCACTAAGACAAAATATTATGATAACTTGTTCAATCATTATGCATGTTAAGACTTATGCATTATTAAATGTTGTGGGGGATGAGACTATTCAGACAGAGACCAAAATAATACATTTATCATCATGACATAAGCAATTGAAAATCTAGGAAAGAGCACACAATTGCACATAATAAATTGCATAGAAAAAGCATTTGCAACTTGTTCAGAGAAATCAGAAATTGCTTTTCTGATGTGTACAACTGACAATGATGTGAAGATCGAACAGGGAGTTTTGACAATTTCAATTCTGATCTGAGAAATGGACCAAAACTCTGTAATAAACAAGAATAATCAAGAGAAACAAAATATATAAAGTTTAGTTGAAATTTATTGCAATAACTATTTTGAAATGCGATATATTTCGTTCTATTCCTACAGATGTTAGGTGACCAATCTCCTACTTTAATGGATATAACTGTTGAAAAAAAAACTCTTGTTTGAATGCACCAAAAAGTACTGGCTATATATTCACAGAGAAATGGTTCTGACCGGTGCTTAAAAAAAATGATAGAAAAGAATAAGCAATCATGCTAAATGTTATAGTATTTTAAATGACCAAGACGACTTAATGACAAATAAGTTAGGGACGAGGGCTGCAAATTAGCTTTATGCTATATGCCCTATGTACGCAACATCGGTTATCTTTGTATAACAATGTCAAGTGTATTGTCCCTGTAAAATAAACAAGCAAATAAAAATAAGTGAAATCTACTGACTAAAGTGATAGTGCCAAACGTTTAAAGACTTTAAATGACATATAATTATAGTTATTTTGGGGTCAGTCTGTAATCCTAAAATAGTCTTTTGTTGTCATCAAAAGATTTTTGTTTTAAATATGACAGTATTTTTGTTGTTATAAACTCCCTTATTAGAGTTAATCACATTTTAGTCTTTTATAATTCATACTTATTGTCCAGAAAAAAATTAATGTAATTAATCAGGGCATGTTCTAGTGTGCAGGGAGAAAAAAGAAAGCTGTATAACGCTCTCATTGTTTGTCCATTTTATATATGATTGTATTCCCGTTTGCTTATGTCATGAACAGGGTGTTCCAGGTCCTAAAGGTGAGCAAGGAGAGGCTCCAGCAGAGGTATGGATGGTGCCCATAAAAAACTGTGATGCTTTTGGATATTTGCCTGTGCATTTATGATGATGCATTGTCACATTGCAGGTGCAGCAGTTGAGAGAAGCACTAAAGATCCTGGCGGAGAGACTTCTCATCCTGGAACACATGATCGGCATTCATGGTGAGAAAATGGATTAATATTAATCTAGACCTCCAGTTATAACTCACATTAAATTCCAGAGCACCATCATGATCTCATGACATAAGCCATGCCAGAGTGGTTGGCCATTGTTTAGTAATGATTTGAGGTTGCATGAGGATAAATTGCTTTAAGGAATCAAGATGACATCAGGGAACTTGAAATATACTTATTTATAGATGGGGAGACTGCTATGTTTAACTGTAAAAGTGCCATCTACAGGCCACAGAATGTGTGCTTATTAATTCAATACAATTATAAATTAATTTCAGTTACTTTAGCTTTGTTTACACTGCAGGCAATTGTGACCCAATTTTTTCGCCCACCTGACTAAGATCTGTTTTTTTTTTTTGACAGTGTGAACATCTCAAACCGCATCGAATTTGATCTTTTCAATTCTGATTTGTGCCACTTTTATATGTGTTCTTAAATCAGATACAGATCTGGGTCTTGGGTTGAATTCATTCTAAAACGTTGTGAACGCAGAATCCTGCGCATATTCTCTATGTACATGCGACTTAACGTGAAACTGAGCGCACATGCAAGAGTGCAAAACCCCCCCCCCCCCCCCCCCGCCTTCTCCCCCAGATAAATATGGTAATGACTCTACTTTGGCAAAACCAAACGAAAAAGTAATGGCAAAAGCAAGCAAAAAAAGAAACTTTGAACAGAATGTGAATTGGAGGTGCTCCTTTCGGAAGTAGACCGGAGAAATGCGGTTTTATTTGCAAGTTTGTCTTCTGGAATTAATAACAAAAGAAAAAAAAACAGAGTGGGAAAGTTTTGCTGACACGGATAATGCAGTTGGGTCTGAACATCGCGCTGAGTGGATTAAAAAAGTAAGTAAGTCTGATGTAAGGGTGAAACATTTTGTAGTGTCTATTTAGGCTAAGTGCAAATAGCACACCGTGTTGGAATGAGCTAGTTGAGTGATTCCCACCCATCACTGTTTTATTGACAGAAACAACATAAATAAAGAGAGGAACAAACAGCAGCGTGAGTGGCGTAGCTCATAAAGAGCATGGCAACATGTTTTGCCACTTTCGATCATGAACTCGATTCGAATCCAGCGTCAGATGAACTCATTGGCTGCGTCCGAAACCGCATACTTCCATACTATATAGTACGCTAAAATCAGTATGCGAGCCGAGTAGTATGTCCGAATTCATAGAATTCGAAAATCAGTAGGCGAGAAGTACCCGGATGACTTACTACTTCCGGCGAGATTCTGAAGTGCGCATCCCATGCACGCTGCGCTATCCCATAATGCCCCGTGAGAGAATTCATGAATGGAAGTGAAACGACGCAACTGACGTAGGTACGTCACGTGACCATGACAAAATGGTGGATGTAGTACATCCGAATTCCATTCATACTTTTCACATTTATACTGTATAGAAAGTACTTTTCTAATGGCCGAGTAGTACATTTTAATTCAAATGCAGTACCTACTGAGTAGTAGGCGGTTTCGGACGCAGCCATTCTTTTTTTCCCCCACTCCATATCAGATTTTGCCTACTCTTCATCAAGAGGAAGACAAGTAGGAATAAGTGTGTGTATTATGATAAGCGCATTTGAGCATCACATATTATTTGCACATTTATTGAATGGAAATGTTTCTGATTCACATATGCAAATTCGTGTTCAGATGACGCTTTTATAGCAATTACATAGGGAAAACCGCAGATCGCTGCAAATTGCGCTTTAATGTTTGGCGTGTCAACTGCATGGTATGGAAACCTTATATATCTGCTAGACGTGCAGATGATCCCGTCCCATACAGCTGCAATTGCACGGCTTAAAAATACTTTGTAGAGTGCAATTTAACGTAATTGCCGCTTGGAGCAAATAAAACAACACACACAAGAAATGCACGTACGCCAGACATGAAGTGCACATTGCGCACATTCTCACATTCATTTCATCGTTTGTAAATCCAAGTGTGAGCATGAAATCTGGCATACACAAAGTTTTTGTGCGTACGCAGCATTGATACATGAGTCCCCTGATGTTTTGTAATCCGACCGCAGTGTGAACGGTTATGTAGGATTTCATGTGACTTTCACATAATTTTTAATCAACACGCTTCATTTTTCTGCACTGGTTAGTGCTGCTAACACCCTCTACTTCTTAGTAGCATAGCAGAATAGCACACAGGGCAAATGTTTTACCCCATAAAATTTAAGGTTGTTCATTTTGAATGTTTTTTGAATGACAACTGGTACTCATTAACCATTAACCTGTAACCAAAAAAAGGATTGTTCGTTAAAAGACCATAAAAAAAAATTGCATATAAAAAAAATTAAATACATAGGCATACATTTGTTTGCTTATAGTTTCAAATCTGTCTCGACTGTTAACCTGAAAGTTCTCACATGCTTAGCTTCTGCGTCATCATCCATGTTTTGCTCATTTGCTTTTGTTTTATTATTAGGAATTTTATGAGTCTTTGTTTTGGTAAATCTAAATACAAGTTGGCCACGGGGTATACTGTATATATACTTTCAATTTTCAGTCAGCCAGGCCAAGCACTTCCGTCGAACTGTCTTCCCATAACAAAATCACCATATTTAAGGTCTGATATCTTTAAAAATCAGTGATCTTTACTGCCTGATTGATATACAATATAAAGTGGGTCTCAGACAGGACAAGAAGCACTGCAATAAATTCCATTTTCCCCACCATGTCTTTGAAATATGAAAATTTATTTTATCCCAGTATTTTTAATTACCTTCTCTATCAGCTTCAATGGCTTCCGGTAAAGTTTTGTATTGATCTTAAAATATCACTTCTAACTTTCAAGGCACTTCATAATCTTGCTCCTCAATATCTCACAGAACTTCCCCATATACCCCTTCTCGCACTCGTAGATCAGCCAACTCTTTCTCCCTGGTGCCACCTTGCACTCGATTAAGCACAATGGGAGACAGGTCTATTACCTCTATAAGGCTCCTCAGCTATGGAACTCACTTCCCCTGGACCTAAGGAGCAGTGATAGTCAGGCCCGGATTGGCTAATCGGGAGGACCGGGAGAATTCCCGGTGGGCCGGTCCGTTTTTTGGCCGCGAGGGCCGGTATCCCTAGCTCCAGAATCGGTTGCTCTCAGCATTCACACTTTTTAAATTTATGTATCTAAGTTATTTATTTGACCACAGCCGTTTTATTCATTATTTTACCGCAGCTCTACTCTTTTTATCTATTTTCTCGCAGCTCAGTGAGCAAGTTGCAGCCTGCAGGTTAATGATGATATAACCTTGTCTACCTTCGCTGAACAGCTGTTGTGGTTCAGTGGTTAGCACGTTAGTTTTTGACCCCGCAGACCCGGGTTCGATCCTCGTCTGAGTAATTTATTTTTTATTTTTTTCATTTTTATTGTTAAGACATATAATACTGTTAGGGTTGTTGAACATTTTAAGTTCTAAAGCAGTTGTTTTCTCAAAAAAAGACGTGATAGTGTCATTAAAAATGGAAATTACCTTATTTTAATATAGTCAGTCGTGAACTGAGGTGGGCCGGTCTGAGGCTTGAAACTCCAGGGCTGAAAAGGAGTCCCACTCCGGCCCTGGTGATAGTCCTCACACTTTTAAATCTCGTCTAAAGACCCATCTTTTTAAGCAGGCTTTCCTTTAACAATTTTTCATCATGTTATTTTATATTCGCAATTTGTTTAGACCTGCAACTACTTACATGCATTTAGAATGCTTGTTTGGTCTTTTTTTTATTAATTGTTTTAATTTGTTCTGGTATGGCTGTTGGTGCTTATTGTAAGGTGACCTTGGGTGTCTAGAAAGGCGTCATTTACAAATAAAATGAATTATTATTATTATTATTATTAACAGAGTTTCTGTGCTCGCCTGCTGCTAATGAAGGCACTTGTGTTTACACAGTCTTTCATCTCGTTTTACGCTTGAACAACTAAATGAACCCTCAAGTCTATTTAGCTGATTGTATTTTAATTATATTACCACATCAATGATGCAAAAGGAACTATATGAAATAAAAAATAGTCACATCAACATTTCAACGGAAGTTTATTGGCTGAGAAACACTAGCTGTGCATTTAGCCCGTTTAATTTTTAGAGATTAAATCAGACTAGCTATCGGGAGCTGATTGTTTCTTCTGCTGTTCACGCCGACATTTTAACCGAACAACCGCCTAAACTGAAATTTGTAGCAAATGTAAAAATAGTATTGAAATAATGACCAAGTTTTTAAATGTGAAGCTATTATAATCTTACGTAAACATTTACACAACTTCTTTCCTTTAATTTATGTTTGTCTCTCTGCTTTCACCGTTCTGCCCAGATACTCTCTCGGATTCTGGTTCTGGAATAGATCTGCTGGCGGACTTCATGCAAACAGAAAGTGCTAAAAGTGTTGGCTCTGCCAGATCTGCCTCTCCTCTTACCTCGGACAGAAAGTAGCCGGAGTCTGTTGGGTTTAACATGCGCGTGTGAATCTCCTGTCTGCCGCTTTGAAGGACAGATCTGTCACATATTGGCTGATGAGTATTATAATAATAAGAGTGGCACTGATACATTTTTTTTTATTTGCTTCATGAGTATTGTGTTTATTAGTGATATTATGTTTTTTACAACCACTGTGTATACAGTTAAAGTCAGAATTATTAGCCCTTCTGAATTATGCCCCCTGTATATTTTATTCCCAATTCATGTTTAACAGAATGTTTTACTAGATATTTTTCAAGATACTAGTATTTAGCCTAATGTGACATTTAAAGACTTAACTAGGTTAATTAGGCAAGTAAGGGTAATTAGGAAAATCATTGTATAACGATGGTTTGTTCTGTAGACTATCGAAAACAAATATTTTGCTTCAGGGGGCTTATAATATTGACCTTAAAATGATTTTAAAAAAATTGAAACCTGCTTTAATTCTAGCCTAAATAAAACAATTAAGACTTTCTCCAGAAGAAAAAATATTATAGAGAATACTGTGGAAAATTCCTTGCACTGTTAAACTTCATTTGGGAAATATTAGAAGAAAAAAAAAAAATGGAGGGCTAATAATTAACTGTATATACCAACTTTTTGTCATCGTTTATTGTACTTCCCATTTTAATTCTATAATGTGATGTATTGTAAAGGGAGACCTATATATTTAGCCTACGCTCATGTGAAATACCTGCCTAACCCTACAATTTTCAGAAAAGTAAAATACGTTGTTCTGTTTTGTTGGACGTTTCAGATGACTAATCCGCTAGAGGGCACTGTTTACATTTTTGCTAATCTAAGATATATTATTTGGCGTGCGCTTTGTTGTCCGTTTCAAATACACATCCTTTTTGCACACATCTAGCGAACCACTGACTTTATCCCCACTTATCCACTCTCTAAACCAAACCAGTAGGGTTTTCAAAAGCAAATGTACACTGTAAAACCCAACAGTCAACTGTATCAAATGAAATGAGTGTAGTTACCTCAATTTACTGAACGTTAATTCTACTCATTTGACAAGAGTTTTTAATTTTTTATTAAATTCCTCATTACTCAAATGGAGTGAGTTCACAGTACTCATATAGATTAGTTTTTTTTAACTCAAATGGTTTGGTTGCAATCGTTTTCCTCAATCAGTTTGAGTTCTCTTCATTTATTGGGTTTTACTATGCTCAAATTGCTTCATTTACTCAAATGGATTAAGTTCACAGTACTCATTAGGATTAGTTTTTGAACTTAAATGGTTTGTTGCAATCGGTTTCCTCAAATGGTTTGAGTCACCTTACGTTTATGGGTTTTACAGTGTAAGAAAAAATGCACTGCGACTGCATAGTTAAACCTTACATTGCTTTTATCTCTTTTGTGAAACTGTACTTCACTGAACTCGAACCCGAGTGCTCAGCATCACATTAAATACAACACCGTGCAAAAGGAGCTGCTGAGGAAACTGACCCCTCCAGTTGTCCACATGGAGATAGATAAAGAAATCATAGACACCGCAAGTAATTTTGTGGTATTTATTTGGTGTTGTGCAAAGAACTCCACAAAAATAATCCTTTATTTGTTGATAACATGTCCTTGTAAGTATAATAAGTGGGAAAATGAACAAAAGTTGATGCCGTCATACTGCCTCATTGCATTCATTTTATCGAAAAACTGCAGTTGATAAAGGCTGATTTATACTTCTGCATCAAACACTGGCGTATGCTACGGCGGTGACGCATAGCCCTTCGCTGTGGCCGTCGGCGTCGCTGACGTGCACCTTTCAAAAAATGTAACTACACATCGCAACAACGTGTAGCGCAAGCTCTGTGATTGGTCGGCTTGGTAGCGCTGACGATTCTGGGTGGGACCAAGAGCCGCGCGAATGGCACGAGCGATTGTTTACAAGTGTGGAGTCCCGTGAAGGAGCTCTGGATGGAAAGTTTTGTTGTGTTTACCTCATGGTTAAAGTTGTTGCACGTCTGCTGGTTCCTGCCTCAAAAAGAGCGAGTTTAAGGCTGCGTCCCAAATCGCATACTTATGCACTATTCTACGCCATTTTATAGTATAAATAGTGTAAGTAGTGTGTTCACACTGAAAACTCTAAAAATATTAAATGCACTTTAATTACCCGGATGATGCACTCATTCAGCTGGTAAAATGAAGTGTGTAATGATGGACACTTTACGCACTCAACGACCGCAGGTTTGCTTACGTAGCGGAAGGGGCGGAGCTATCGGACACACGTTAAATAACTTTATTTATTTTGGATTGTGAAAGCAAAATTTTCCTACGAGAGTGATTGTAGCGCCTCCCGATGGTGAATGTGGCAATACTCGCTGCAGGTATTATTTGATAATTCGGTCGTTTATTTCACTGATTTGGCGACCGTCAAACGTCATCAGGGAAACGGTTTGAATTTCCGCTTAGTAAAAAAACAGTGTGCCATTTGGGATGCCACTACATACATGTACTATCCTGTTGAGTGTGTAAGTGCATAAGTACATAGTGCATGAGTGCATAGTGTATAGTGTGCAATTTGGGACGCAGCTTTAGTCACTTGTACATCCAGGAAGTGTTCAGGAAGAGCAAAACAGCAGTGAAGAAACTCGACACAGAGGAACATTTACACCTCACTGCCAACTAGCGTTTCGGAAGTGTTAATGCAGACCAACAGAGACAGCGCGCAGAAGTATAAATGCACAGCTACGCGCGTTGCATGCGCCGTGGGTCACGCCGGTCACTTGACGCAGAAGTATAAACCAGGCTTAAGTGTGTTTATGTGGATTCACAAAAACGCAGGCTGAAGTACGTATTTCCAATGAAGCTTTGTTGTATATTTTAGCACATTCAATTTTATAAATTTGAAAATTGGATGCTTGTAACCAGAATGGAACCTGAAACAATGTGACTTTTTTTTTTAAAACAATATAGATGTTTACCTATTGGTTAGACATATCCAAAAGCCTGTGTGGAACTCTGTCATCACAGAAAAACACCTGTTTTAGAGTAGGAACTAGTTAGATTAAAGATTCTAAAAACACTTTCACAGAGATAATGATCACTTTAACTAACCACTGCAACACACAACAGCGTTCAGTTTATTTTAAGTGGGCTACAGTTTTCCTTAAATCACAATTGATCCAGATTGGCTGTCCTTATAAATATATATTTTTAATGTGATTCCAGTGATATCATCAGCCACTTGAGTATAAGAACATGTTGTTAGATCTTGATTAAAGATTATAAAGCCTCATGTTAATAATAAGAACTATATTAGTGTCCACACCAATGCACTACAGTTTTGTTGTCTGTCACTTTAAATGCTCATTTGTTTTAAAAAGTGATAGTTTACCGCAAAATGAAAGTTTCCTCATTATTTACTCACATGGTTATAAACTTTTATGAATTTCTTTCTTCTGTTGAACACTAAACAAGATACTCTGAAGAAGGTCTGAGAAACGCTCAAATGACTAAATGCTCAAATGTTCATTTTTGAGTGAACTACCCCTTTAAAACTGAAGAACAAAAGCAAGACTTGATCATTAAAAATAGTATGATTTTTGATATAGAAAGTGAATTTTTTTTGAATGTTTGATCAAAAAAGATGACATGCTCTCAACGGCCACTTTATTAGGTACACCCTACTAGTACCGGGTTGGACCGCCTTTTGTCTTCTGAACTGCCTTAATCCTTCATGGCACAGATTCAATAAGATACTGGAAATATTCCTCAAGAGATTTTGGCCCATATTGACATGATAGCATCATGCAGTTGCTGCAGATTTGTTGGCTGCTCATCCATGATGTGAATCTCCCATTCCACCACATCCAAGAGGTGCTTTATTAGATTGAGATCTGGTGACTGGGGACGCCATTTGAGTACAGTGAACTCATTGTCAGGTTCAAGAAATCAGTCTGAGATGATTTGCGCTTTATTACGTGGTGCGTTATCCTTCAGCCATCAGTAGATGGGTACACTGTGCTCATAATGGGATGGACATGGTCAGCAACAAAACTCGGGTAGGCTGTGGCGTTGACAAAATGCTCAATTGGTACTAATGGGCCCAAAGTGTACCTAGAAAATATTCCCCACCTTTACACCACCACCATCAGCCTGAACTGTTTATACAGAGCAAGATGGATCTTTCATGTTGTTGATGCCAAATTCTGACTCTACCATCCAGTGTGGTCTTCTGCTGCTGTAGCTCTTCTGCAGACCTCAGTTGTAACGAGTGGTTATTTGAGTTACTGTTGCCTTTTTGAACCAGTCTGGCCATTCTCTTCTGACCTCTAGCATCAACAAGGCATTTGCACCCACAGAACTGTTGCTCATTTGATATTTTCTCTTTCTTGGACTGTTATCTGTAAACCCCCCGAGATGGTTGTGCCTGAAAATCCCAGTAGATCAGCAGTTTCTGAAATACTCAGACCAGCCTTTTGGCACTAACAACCATGCAACATTCAAAGTCATTTAAATCACCTTTCTTCACCATTCTGATGCTCGGTTTGAACAGCCGAAGGTCGTCTTGATCATGTCTACATGCCTAAATGCATTAAGTTGCTGCCATGTGATTGGCTGATTAGAAATTTGTGTTAATGAGACAGGTGTAAAGGAGTGTAAAGGAGTGTAAAGGAGGACAGGTGTGCCTAATAAAGTGACCAGTAAGTGTATGTGATTATATAAACAAAAAAAATGCATTGTTGACACTTAACGTGGCGTGAATAATGACTTTGTACTGCCGTTATTCAAGCTGACAGTACATGGATTCTTCTGAAGACTACAGCAATTTCAAAACTGACTTTGTATGCAAACAATTCCCATCTTAAAATAGACAAAAATAGAACTTCAAAATCAAATTTGACCCTTTGTCTGTATAGAAAGTACATTGTCCGCCACAATAAATCGTGTTTACATCTCCGTTCACCTGTTCTTGTTCATAAAGCCTATCATTGACTTGCTGAAAATCCAAAATGGCAGAACGCAGAACAGACTGCTATTAATAGGGCCGCGGTGAATAGCCAGAGACACACAAAGGGCCCTGTTGACCTTGTTGGAAACGCCAGTGTGGCTTTAAGCGTATTGTTGCTCTTGAGCTTTTGT